GTTGCTTACATCATGTTTCAGAAGGTACTCAAGCCGGTCGTATATGGTCAATGGCTGCTTTTTAACTTTGCGTGTGGATGTGAATAGTCAAAAGCTCATACTATCTACACAGTGGCGCACTCACACCCTATGACGATTCACACGGAATGACTTTTGATTTCAGTTTCTACGATGTATACTGATGATGCATACGGCATAGATACAAGTGCTAGTGCCGTTAAATTTATCGACTTACGTGTACGGTTACGATATCAAAATTCTATTAGCTTCCGTATGTGGTTACGGATATATATTAGGGAGAGAATGGGATGGGACGAGCCGCGAAACTTCGCTTCAAAAATTGCAATTCATTCATATACTTATATAGTGAGATCAGAAAGAAAAGTTCGTCTTAACTATAACATGACTATTGTGTAGGTGATTTCGTTCTTTTTATTTTTCTTATCTTGTTTTTTTTCTCTCTACACAATTCGTCGTGTTATTGATGAAAAAAACGTCGCCATGTGGACATTATTCATTTCTGTTTGCTTCTGAAGTGTTCGCTGCTTCTATTTGGTTTTTTGTTTTTTTGCATACAGCAAAATTACTTCATCTTTAAAATATATATAAATCAATGTAAGTAATAGCTTTTAATTCACTGTTATTTTTCTTTCAAACCAGCAGGTAATCATATAAAAACCGAGATTTTTTTTCTGACTTGATCTTTTAATTGGGAAGTTTCTGTTAAATTAGAGTTTTTTGCAGAAAGAACATTATATCTACCTAGCTTCATCTGATACATTTTTTATATTTTGAAAAGAATCTACTTGATTGTACCACAAGAATTTCTATTGGTATGCTGATTCGACTACTGCCATCTTTGCAAAATATCCGGTATATCGGATACAGTGGTCTGATACTATAGTGGTCGAGTACGATCCTTATACGGGTATAGAAATGAGGGTGAGATTGGGTCTAGAAATTGTCGGTGACTGGGCTCGACTCCACAGAAATAGTTGACACATGGAAAAAAATAATTTTCGAGTTTATTTCAGTTCTTATTTATTTTATTCAAAAAGAAAAGTCATGTTTTATTTATTTTTGAAAAAAAACGAAAAATAGCACCAAAACTTTCTTCTTGATTGTAATCTCTATGAGATCTCACTACCATGATAAATTTATATAGCAAACAATATCTCATTTTGTTCAGTTCTATTTTTAATGATATTATCAGTGTCGTCCGAGGAATAATCACGAATAGAAAATGTCGGATTCTATCCATATTCTGACCGAGTTCGAATGTGAGATTTTATATTGACTGGGTCTGGGCAAAAATCTTAGCTCAGCATGCTCTAATATGAACAATTTAAAATGTGTCAGTCGTTGACTAACAATAACAGAGGAACAGTACCCTGTTTCTTTGAATGTACTTTCAGTAGCCGATATTAAAACTTTGTTAAAAATATTATAAGTACGATTCGACACCTGGAGAAGTTTTTCTAAGTCGACTTTGATGCCCAAGGCGTTCAATATATCCAGTCCTGATCCAAAATCCTAAGTTCGGCGATACCTACTAATCGTCAGAGAAACGTTTCATATATAGGTATGCCCCAGTTCACTTAGAATGGGTGCGCATCTTTTTCTATCGTATTGATTTTTCCATTCCGAATGCAAACATTTTTTCTATTGTTTGCCTTGCGCAAGAGGAAGCGGATGAAGGGGTGAAGTCGCAAAACGCCACCTTTTAACTTACATTCTCTATTTTTCTTCGAAAAACACATATTGAGTTCAACAAAATAATCTAGTGACAGTTTTCGCTTGGATAAGATCGAATTAAGTTCAAGCTACTGATCTTGAACTTAGTCAGAGATTACAAACATTCACTAAAGTATAAATAGTTCTATTTCTGTTTCAGTTCTCCATTAATGGCTGAATCATCAAAGATAGCGACAGAAGTCACTCTTTTTCTATGTCCAATCACACATCAACTTTTCAATGATCCTGTTTTGGCTGAAGATGGGCACACATATGAAAGGGAAGCAATAGTTCAATGGATACAAACTCATGGAACTAGTCCACTTACACGACAGTCACTCAATGTTAATCAGCTACGCCCCAATTATACAATCAAGAAGATAGTCGATGAGTTTCGATCGAAGAATTTCTATTTTAAATTAGATGTACATATAAAAAAGAAATCCCGTCGAGCACTATTTCAAGCACATGGAAAAACTGTATGGGAAGCAGAATGGATTGGAAAAGATGGACCACCGATATGTTTAATGAAAATAAATGGTGTTAAAGCATTAAAAGAAGCATCATTTTACGAAACGATGACTCGACATCCATATATTGTAAAGACATACGGAATCGTCGACGAGTCTGCGGACGTAATATCACATTCAATTATGCTATTACAAGAGTATGCACCTGAGGGCAATTTATTTGAATTATTACAAGAGCAGTCATCTATACCTAATCCGCATATCTTATGTGAAATGTTTGTTCAAATATCTGATGCTATGGTATTTTTGGCACACAATAAGATTGTACATGGTGACTTGGCATGCCGAAACGTATTAGTATTTCGATACGATGCAAACGAACCGAAAAACAATCTTGTCAAATTAACAGATTTTGGTCTTAGTCAAGGAAGTTCAATGTATGCTCCAGTGGGATCAGCATCAAAAACAACATTGACCATAGTTCCAATACGCTATGCTGCTCCTGAAGTTCTTAGTAATAGTAATGATAGAAATTCATATACAGAAAAATCTGATATGTTTTCAATGGGTGTATTGATGTGGGAAGGATATACCAAAGGTGAAATGCCATGGTCAAATATTGAAACTGACAGCGAAGTTTCTCGAAGAGTTATAAACGGTGAACGTTTAAAACAGCCATCGAAATGTAATGATAGAATGTGGTCAGTGATATTAAAATGTATGGCACAACAACCAAATGATCGGCCATCATTTGAAGAATTAAAACGTCAATTATTAGGATTTGTGTTAAATTCTGTAAACACACCAGGTAAAATGAAAACGATTTAGCTTGACATTTAAACTAAAAAGCCATTCAAGAATCGTCTATCGAATGCATATGCATGAAAAGTTTTTGTTTATTTAGATAGTTAAAAAAATTTTACTTTCGATATCCTTTATAGAGAAAAATCAAGTTCTACAGCTCTGTGATGTTGTCAGTGATCTATACTAATATAATTATTTCATCATCAAAATGTGTTATGTGAGTCAGCGACGCATAAAAAAATGAAAAAAAATGAAATATTGAAAAAATATCGTTTTACGTTACCTCGCGTTTTTCTCAAAATCAATTTTTCTCGAGAAAAATTGAAGTTTTTCCTCTTTTTCTCCCAGATGCTTGGGCCGATTGTTAATAGAGCTACCAGTATTTCAGTTCTCCTAAGCGAAGGAAACAATATTTTTCAAAAAAAAAAATATATATATATATACACCCCAATTCGGTTGTAGTTGCCGCAAAAGAAATTCGACCATAAATAATGAGCTTTGGTTGTTTGCGAAGAAGAAAATTTTAGATCATTTTTGGCATCTGCACTCCCTATAGTCGAGATCTATCTACCCTGAAAATTTCATAACCTTTGGTTGAGCTGTTCATAAGAAATCTGGGAAGGAGGAAGATGCCCTTAAAAAAACTTAATTAACAATGTTTTTCACCGGCACCAACCATTTATTTTTATAGCATGAGTAAGAGTTAGAAAAAAAATCTGAGAAACTAAGCGGATGTGAAACAAAACGATGATATGTGATCTTCGCTCACAAATGTAGAACAAGGATAATGAGTAGGTAGTCACCGAACCCGAATACAGATCGCGTTGTTGACTCAACCGATACATAATTGACCTTAGGAGAGGCTGCCGCAATTTATTTTTTGACATGAATTTCTCTATAGGGATTTTGTAGCTCAACTATGCTGGGCATTCAAAAAATAATTGTATGATATGCAAGATTATCTTGTGTTTTTAGGAAAACCAAGCATATTTATTAGAGTAGCAAATTCTGAACATGACGAGGTTACTGAAATAGCAGTGGACGAACAAAATTGTGTGTCCTTGTCAACATTAACTTCGCAGTTTCCAGGAATAATTAGTTTGAAATACCGAAGTTCACAAACGAATGAATGGCACACGTATGTATAACTATTGTTTTGATCTAATATGAAAGAGTAGGGCAGAAGTCCTTACAGAATTTGAATAATAAATTTTACTATAGTAAAACAAGCGGTTTAAATTTACGTCAATTGAACAAGGGCTTGTGAGCGCAACCTCTTTCCTAAAGATGATCGATTATTAGAGAAACGATCTGTCATATTTATTTTTGCATTTCAGAATAGAAATTGTTTTCCTTTTAGATAAGAAATTTGAACCTACACAAACCATTCTCTTCGAGACAGTGACAAGCATAGGCTCGGGTGTGAAATTCATTGTGTATTGATACGAAGTACTGCAAGAGAAACTCATAAGTTCATGAATAGAATGGAAAGCTTTGAGTAATATTAACACAATTTTGCTCGATAAATCAGAGAGTATCGAATACATACAGCATTGACTTAAAACAATTATTTTACATAGATCTTACTATTGATAATGATACCTATATCATGTCTCACATATTAATCCCAGAGAAATTGTGCTAGCAACTTTTCTACGTTATGTTTCAAATCACATATTTTTAGAGCTGCTCTTCTTGATACGAAATTTCAACAGCCTCAACACGAATCACCATCAACCATATACGTCGCTGTGTATTCAGAAGGTATTTTTTTTCCGTCACTGTACGTGAATGTAATAGCCTTAAGCATTAATTGACAATTAATTAACGATAACTAGTCTTATTCTAGCACCTGCAAAATCCATTTGAAAATGAGTAGTTGACTCGGAGTCGTTTCAATTTTCACTTTATTTTTGTCAATTTAACTGTTGTCTTTTTGAACATTGATGTTTTCGCTTTGAGAAAATTAGAAGATATATTCGCTAGAATGACATCTTGCGAATGGAACTAGATATGGTTTAATAGCATTTTTGCTAACATCTTTCAGATTTTTTGAAACTGTGTATCTGATAGACTTTCAACAATTATTTGCAAAAAGATTAAATCAAACCAAGGTTCTAACTTTTGTTGTACGTTTTATAGGTTTTACAGATACAGATATTGACAAATACGTGTATCAATTTTTCAATCAAATTGGAGACAATAGTAGAATGGATGCTAGACGCCAGACCACTGAAGCACTGACAACTTTTCTCAAAAGTCATCCAAAAATATGGGACATTGCACACATACCAATCATTCTTGGGCTCATTTGTAATTTATGGAACAGTGAGCACTCATTTGCAACAAAACGAAGGACAATGACACAACTCTATAGTGATATCATTCAATACCAATTACGGCGTTATTTGGAGAATCAAACGATTGATACAAGTTATATGGGCAATGATGAGATATATGAGAGCTGCAAACAAGAAGTGCTACTGTTGCAAACAATTGCGTTTGAAGGAATGAAATGTAACACGGTATTTCTAAAGAAAGAAATAATACAAAATGCGTTAAGAAAAATCGAACCAGATCCAAACAATAGAACTGCGATAGCAAACAAACTAATTAAGGTCGGTATCCTTAAACGTTTAACTCAAAGCGAATGTAGCCAAAGAAATGAAATGGAACAGACTTACTATTTTATCCATTTGAGTTTTCAACAGCACTTTGCCGCACAATATTTGACAGACAGTCTTATTCATAATAATGACGAGACGATCCAATTCATTCAAACTCAAAAATACAACAAACGATATCAATCGTTATTTCTTTTCGTGTCCCATCTAGTCAGTGAAAAGACATCATCGTCATATATGCAAATATTTTGGAGCACTCTCTGTGCGCAGCCACTTGATTTAGTAGGCATGAGACACATGGAATTAGTTATTTCCTGTATGAACGAGACAGGCGATAGAGACATAATTCCTAGCTATGATTTACTACTAAATAAAATTGGCGATTGTTTTAAAACTTGCTTGTCAAAAGAAGCCACAGTAACTCATAAAATTATTGATCTTCTGAAACGCAATCCTTTTGTACAACGACCACAACTGATAAATGATATTCTACGTTACGCGATTCAGATGAAAAGCAGAACAGCACAACAGATCACAGCTTCTTTAACAGAAACAGTAGTTATGTCAGAATTGATCAATACCTTAGAAATGGCAATAAACGATCCAGATCATGAAGTACAATCTATAGCTGTTTTGGCTCTTGCAGAATTAGTCAAAAAAAATCTTACACTCCAACTGCTTAATACACTGCTGCACAACTTCAAGCACCAAGATCTTAAAATACGAAATAGTGTTGGTTCAGCTCTTCAAGTATCAGTCCAGAATAAACCCATACCTGCAGTAATCGTCAGCTTGGTACATGCACTAAAGGATGAAGATCATCGTGTAAGAGAGCATGTAGCTTCAGCTCTTGGACAGTTAGATGGCAAAGCAGTCACCATTGAAGTGATAAATGGACTATTGCAAGCCCTGAAGGACATAAATGAAAATGTCAGAGAAAATGTTGCTCTGGCTCTTGGAAAGTTAGGTGACAAAGTAGTTACACATGAAGTGATCACTGGACTACTCGTAGCACTGAAGGACAATAATGAAAATGTCAGAAAAAATGTCGCTCGGGCTCTTGGAACGTTAGGTGACAAGGCTGCCACGACTGGAGTAATCACCGAACTACTGCTAGCACTAAAAGACCAAGATAATGGCGTCAGATCCAATGCTGCATGGAGCTTGGATGCTCTAGTCTCTCAAAAATCATCGTCTGAAGTGATCAATATGTTAATACAGGCATTAAAGGACAATGATCATCATGTAAGAAAGTCTGCTGCTTCAGCTCTTGGACAATTAGGTGATAAAAGAGCCACGATTCAAGTGATCAATGAATTACTACGACTATTACAGGACCAAGTAGATGAAGTGAGATGGAGTGCTGCTGCAAGTCTTCTGGCATTAGTTACTACAGGTACCATTCTTAACGTGATAAGTAGGTTGCTTCAACTGTTAGAGTACGAAGAGTATCGGCCATGTGCCTATTACCTTCTTAAAGCATTAATGGAGGAAAAAGCCATGCCTGAAATGATCAACCCGATACTTAAAGTAGCAAAGCACAAAAATGGTACTGTAAGAAGTCACGCATTTTTTCTTCTTGGAAAACTCGGTGAAAAAGGAGCTACGATCGAGGTGATCAATGCATTACTGCTGATACTGAGAGATGGAGATGAAGATGCCGCATTGAGCTTGATAATGTTGGTTGAAAAGATCTCATCGCCTACAATAATCAACATGTTGGTACATGCATTGAAAGATCCAGATCATCGTGTAAGAGAACATGTAGCTTCGGCTCTTGAAGGGTTAGATGACAAACTGGTTACCAATGAAATTTTAAGTGAACTGTTGAAAGCCCTGAAGGACAAAAATAAAAATGTCCGAAGAAATATCGCTTTGACTCTTGGAAAGTTATGTGGCAAGGCAGCTTCGCCTCAAGTAATTGCTGAACTACTGCAAGTTCTGAGAGATCCAGATCATGATGTAAGAAATAGTGCGGCATCGGCTCTTCGTGGATTAGTAGCAACCACAGCTACATCCGAAGTGATAAATGGATTACTACATGCTCTGAAAGATGAAAATCAATATGTTCGAAAAAATGTCGCTTTGGCTCTTGGAACGTTAGGTGATCAGGCTGCCACACCTGAAGTAGTCAATGAACTACTGAAAGCTCTGAATGACAAAGATCATGATGTAAAATTCAGTGCTGCTTCGGCTATTGAAAGATTAGGTGTCAAGGCAGCCACGCCAGAAGTGATTAGTGGTCTGCTCCAGGCAATGAAAGAACAATATGGTAATGTAGGATGGCGTGCAGCTTATGCACTTGAGATACTAGTCAAGAAAAAATCAACTCCTGAAGTGATCAATTTGTTGATGCAAATATCGCGGGACCATGATTTTCGAGTAAAATGCGATATCATTAGGGCTCTTGAAGGATTAGATAATAAGCACACTACACTGGAAGTGATCAATTGGTTACTGCTTGCAGTAGACGATCCATCTGATGACGTTCAACGGAGAGCAATTTCTGCTTTAAGGCGTTTGCAGCTACATAGTGCTGTTCTTTCCAAGTTAAATGCCAATATACTGTCAAAGCTTACAACATATCATTATGTCTTCTATAATACACCTCTCTCTGAATTAATTGGGACCTATTTGGAAACTCAGAACGATATTTGGCTTTCTGTTATTTTTAAGCAAGCATTGAAAATGGGATTTGCAGTGGCTTTCATTGAAGAAAAGATCCTGATTTTTGAGAATGAGGGCATGCCTAGTGAAATAGACATATCTACTTCAAAGACACGTACAGCATCGAAAATCCTCATTCAATCGTTCGGTAACCAGGCAGAAGAATATTGTTTGCGGTGGAACTGAAATCGTGACAAATTCAGCCTACCCAGAAGCATTCGAATGGATTCCAAATGAACAGATTAATACGACCTATGCAAACACTCTATATTGCGTAAACGTTCGCGTTCTTTCCTTTTTCTTTCTTGCCGAAATATAATGTGAAATTTTATGTATTAAATCCTTACTTCTATACCAAGCACAGCACATAAAGTGTCTCCTGTTCCTGATGTAACCCTAGCCAATTACGCGTCTTCAATGGTTGTACAGAAATGGTTTTGTATTTTCAAATAGTTTTAGTTCAAAATCTTCACTAAAGATATAAGAAATTATTTAATAAGAATATTAGAATGGATTTAAAGGGTAAGGACGACAGTAAGAATAGTGTTAACGGGGATTCTATCTAACTGATCGATTAAATGACTTATTTATTTTTCCAAAAACATTCGCTATATATACTAACGAACTAGAAAACATCTAAATATAGTTGAAAGAAAACATGAACAAAAATGAAAACGCGTAACAACATCAAAAACAATAACGTTGTAGAAAATGCCTGAATATGCGCAGAAAGGAAAAGAACAGAAGAAAAAAAGAATATATATCTATATGCATACACTATAGCTTCCAAATTGCGGTCAAAGATCAAACAAATAAAAAAACCAACATTGTGGGCGACGGTGGAAGTTTTGGCCGCAATTTGGAAGTAGCCTTTATAGCGATCAACAAGATAGATGAGCATACATGCAGAAAAGATCTTTGACCAGAATAGTTACGAGGGAAAGAAATATGAAACTGTAACAAGCTTATGCAGTATAAAATAAACCTATGCATTCAAAACAAAAATAAAAATCGCTTAATCTAACTAACATTTCTAACAGAATATCTCAAAATCATATCTATAGAGACACACTAATTTTTACTATATTCAATAAGATTCAGCTACAATGCTATAAAAAATAAACGTAACCAACAAAACCATTTCTTTTGAAAAGAAATGGAACAAAATTGCCATATTCAACACAAACGGAATCTAATTTTCATGATCGGCAATGGGAATTTTTCGGTGCTGGTCAAGTATTATCTTGTAATTGATCATTAGTACGTTTCTTTGTTTTGTGATATGAATGAAGTCTATTATATTGTACTTGCTAGTACTTGTCAGTAAGTGCAAGAGTAAAAATATATAGGTATCGTAATTCTAGTACAATTACATGAAGTAGAAAATCAACTGCAACTAACGTGTATTCAATGTTGCTGGCGTCATTAATATTTTATTAGAATAAATGATATCGACATCATTCGTAAATCTTTCAGACTAGAAATTATATTTATTGGTAAAAATCGACAAATTTTAACAAGAACGGATATGATATGAATTCAATATGTGAAACGGTTGAAGACATGTTTAACAAAACTTTGACGCGACTTTTGTATAAATGGTTGTTTAATTTATTTCAGGAAATGATACATGCTTCACGAGTTATATCGTGTATACCTAATGTAGTACTAAAGTTAATACAATCTTCGACGTTAACTGTCCGACCACATGATCACGTTAAGTTGAACACCGCTGGAGAACATGTGTGAAGTTGCTCTTTTACTAAATATAAAACCATCAAGAAAAATGAAAAGTTTGTGAACAGGATGACTGTAATTAGCAAGGATGTTTTTCTTATATATTAGATAAAACAAAATTAATATAAAAAATAATGTGATTTTTGTGATATATGCCGAGCTCGATTAGTAGATATTACATTCTACTCTTTACTGATTTATCGTCTTAGTGTTTTTCATAAAAACGTATGCTCATCTTTCATAACTGAAAAACTGAATATTTCCGGAATTTGAAAAAAGTTCTTGACTTTTACTATTATTTGGTTGTCGAACTTGTTTTTTTTTAAATGGAGTTACGGATAGCCTTGGTAACTGCTTTGCTGATAAATCAGAAGAATAAAAGGATCAGCGAATAGTTGATACATTTAATAAAGGCAGGAAAGAATCGTATTAAGCCCCCCCCCCCACTCGAAAATCTATTTTTGTCCCAGAACAGGAGATCTGGCTGAAGCTTTTAGGGAATATGTTTTCAAGTGTTGGTAGCTCACAGTAAAATTTTTAGCCCTAAATATTGAGCTGTTCAAAATTTATCCTCGTATCAAGGGTCAAAAAGTATGCTTTCATATTTTAAAGATTCCTCTTTCAAATCTAGTGATACAGGTTTCGGCTTCATGTCAAAATGTAGATGACACCTGCCGCTTTAAATTAGCAACGCCCGATTTTTCACAATTTTGTTTCTCTACATCTGATGGAAATTTTTCTTAAAAAATCTGAAAAATTAAGAGCACTCTTATCGGAAAAAGAATCAGTTTTTCGAGAAGCAAGTCACAAATGAAAAACCCGACTCTCTGAAGTCATAGAGCACAATTTTCTCTTCAATTTAAGACCTCTCCGAGATTTCTAGCATGTAAAGCGGTCAAGAAATCTTTACAATAAGGACAAAAAAAGGAAAAATCCATTTCGACAAAAACGCGAAACAAAGTTTAGCATTGAAACACAAGTCCCTTGCTTGTTAAAATGATAAAGGAAAACAATCGTGGAAAAACAACAGAAACCCAATAAATCATAGTGTTTTTGAAAGTAGTCAATGAAGGTTATCTAACCATGCTAAAAACTCAAAATCGAATTTTTTGATGAAAATCGCGATTTTTGAGTGAGGGGATCTTAAATTATTTATAAGTGAACAAATATATATTTAACTTTAAAATGCATCGGAATTCGATGCTAGCTGTTGTGATAATAATGACAAAATGAGATTAGTTTGATTTCAAGAACTGGTTGACACATCTAGTACAACAGCTAATGCTAATTGACACAGTTTGCTTACGTCATTATCGGCTACATACAACATAGATTTATCGATTTCAAGTAAAATAATAGTTTAAACATTGTTGCACTATATCGTTGTTTTAATGAATCATGCTGTTGATCAATATCTAGACAACAAATAGGTGAATAAAGCATATTATTTTGAATATTTGTTAATGTTGTTTTTATTTGTAGTGTGACTGGTGAATTTTCTAATGATCAATTTAAAAGATTTCGGTTGTCATGATTTGTTTGATTATGTGAAAGCGTAGCTTGAAAGAAATATCCTCCCAAAAGAATGCCATTTGTTTATAGTAAATTATCTTCTTCAATAATCGATAAAAAATTGGTAATTTGAATATGATTTACAGTTGCATGCTCGCTGACATTGAATGCCAGATGAATATATTGTAGCTCAAATAAACAAGAATTGATAAATTTGTATTTTAATTTACTTGGAGGAGCATTGACGAAAGTAGTAACGACACTACTGCTGTTAACGATCATTAGTTTGATGATCAACTAGTTTAATAAAAAAAAATTGAGTTTATTCTTTTAATATTTTCATAATAATTGTTTATGAAGTACAAAACCTTTACCTTATAGCAATAATAAAGTTGATATAAGTACTCGACTTTTAGTGCTGATAGGTGGTTCATTCCGCTGTTGTGGTTGGATTTGATCAGCTAGTTATGAATGATCGTCTAGTATAATATTAAAAATGTCACTATAGTGTATTGGGAAGGAAGATAAAACTGTAACTCTATGATAAACTATAGAATAACAAATAATTTTTTCCAGTGAATTAGCTCTGTGATTTCAAATATCATAGATAATAAAATTTTTATTAAATGCAAGCTCGATGAAAATTAGATATATCAGTATCAAACAACGAGGACTGTGGAGACTTTTCCATATAGAATTCTAAATTTCTGGAATTTTGTAAAATACAATCGTCGTGGCGTGCCATTAGTAGACCATAAAAGAGTAAAAACACAATATTTTCAAACAAATCCGAACGAGCATCGTTTTGGTGGTTAAACGGCGCAACTTTGATTCACAAGATACTGTTATCATTTTTCTTTGTCTTGCCGTTTTATTTTCTTCAGAAATTTTAACATTTTTCTGATTACTTTCAGATTTTTTCCAAATTTTCAAATTTTGTAGATCGCAACTTCGCTACTTCATCTACAACTACTCTTGATAAAACATATTTGAAAAAATTGGAAATTATGAACAACTCAATCGAATTGATGTTATATAAGCTTTATTTTTTCTTCAGTAGGATCTTTTAACTTAGATAGTATATATGTGGTTTATTTCTATACTTTTTCTGTGAGCAAGTTTTGAGTTTGATGAAACAGTTCGACACTAAGCGTCTTTGTTTTGGTATTTTTGTGTTAATTAAACAATATATTCGTTACATTGTCTTTCTTTATAGCGAATTATCTTTGAAAATAAAGTATAAATGAATGAACAAATACCCAATAGAGCATTTGGTGCTAGTATGTTAATATAATAAGCGATAATTCGAAAAAAATTGACCATCATGATTAATTTCTGATTTTTCTAAGTTTTAGATCTAGCAATTCTGTCTGCTAACTATCAATAATTGAATCATCGAATAGAGATGCAATGACATATCTCATTTCTTGCTATTGTCGATTTTTGAAGCGTTCCTAGCCACTTCAAATTATACACAAATGATTACCAATCTGCGTAGCCATATGAAATGAATTTCATTGCACAAATATGAGTTTTGTTGCTTCATTGTCGCCATTCTTCCTATGAATGTATTGCTGTTGCTATATTCAGTCCTTCTCAAAAGAACGATTATTTGAGAAGTATAATAAAAAAAAACAAAAAACAAGAACATAAAAACAGACAGAAACAGAATGCAAACGTTCACCATGCTGCATAAGTAAGAAATAAGTCATTCAAAAAAAAAACAAGCCAACGGTGTAAGAGGCAAAAAATATATATATATATAAAGCAAAACATCATTGCAATTACGAAGAATATCGTGACTTTAATAACTTAGCTGTAGTAAGTAAACTATTAGGAAGATTCGAGAGGTAAAAGAAATTATTTTAAATGTTACATCCTTCACGCCAAGACGCTGCGAATATTGAAAATAAGTAAGATAGATACGATATTGACAC